GTGGATGACAGTTATCTGTTTACACGTATGTATATATAAAGAAATATATTCAATATATTTATACTTAGAAGCTTGCTGGTAGTAGGTCTATCCTCAAAACATTCACCCTCAAAAACTACTTAAATCTCCAATACTGTAAAGATAAAAAATTTTGGAAAAAATTCATAAAAATAACAGGGATTTATTTTAATTTTCTTATTTCTGGTTTTTTCTCAATTTTTAGGAACAATATGTATCAATTTTTATATATTTTAATTTTCTTATTTCTGGTTTTTTCTCAATTTTTAGGAACAATATGTATCAATTTTTATAATTAGAAGAAAAGAAAGCTATTTTTTTTAATTCATAGGTTAGACAATGTGGGGTTAGCAGATATGTCTAAGTTTAGCAGTCTTTTACTTTTCCCTGATCTAATATATATCTATGTCTTTTGTTTAATACCTCTGATAAAGAGACTCTGGATTATTATTGATAGATTAAGAATCATAGAAATAATTTTTAAATTGCAAATTCCATGGTAGTAGTAATAGAATCTGCAACTGGAAAATTGCTTTGATAGAACTGTGTAACTGTGGAATTGCATACTTTAAGTATTTCATACACCTAAAATAGATCTTAGGAAAATTTCAGTAAAGATGGCATTTAATGGCATTTAGTTAGGATTTAATAATAATTGGAGAGATACTAAAGCTTATAAACCCACTAAGATCTACAAAATAAAAAAGGAGTTGGTATACATGAAATGTTTAAGGTAGTTTTCTGTGAAGATAAAAGAAACAAAAGCATTTTGTTAGAAATGTGCTTATGAGTGAAGTTATGAGTAGTTGTCTCTTATTGACAATTCTAGACTGGAGAAAGAAGAGATTTCCCAGAAAATGTTAGCTTAGAGACAATTCATGTGATTATACTGAGAAGTGGCTGCTGCCCAAGATTCGAGTGCTATCATGAACAACCTGCATTCATGGCAGTCAGTGAGGGCAGCCAGGGAGAGACCTCCAGCCTCACCGAGCCTGATGCGCAGCTAACAACATTGTGGTGGAAAAGGAAGCAGTTCACAGGCTGGGGAGGCAGGTCTGGGGCCCGTTCTACTCCAGCCACAGCGTGGCTTTGAAATCTTGGCCAAATCACACCTTCTCTGAGCTTCAATGTCCTCAAGAATCTATGGAAGATACTCTACCCCACAGAGTTATCATGTGATCAAATAAAATTACAACAAACATCTAGCAGAGTGCTCGGTACGTGGTAACTTCTTGAAATGGTTTATTTCCCTTCCCTGTGAGACAGGCCTGGAGCCAACACCTCGTCATCTGAAGACATCTAGTGGCTCCACAGCCTGGTATTTAGACTGAGAAGATCCTGTGACATCCAATACTTTGTACTCTCTTTCTCACAGTCTATATTTTTTTTTAGAAAGTGGTGGGCCACAATTTTCTTAGTAAATGTTAATGTCACTTGCTACTCTTTCATTTATGTCTGCTTTTATAAGTTAATAAATAAAAAGATTATTATCAAGAATTATTAGTTAGAAACGCTATCATTTGATGTATTTCATTAGGGAGAAAACAAATGATAAAAGAAACAGAAATATCAAAGAATTTTCCACAGCAAAGCACCAAGAAAAATAGAAGTCTCCCCTTATGTTGGTATTGTTTTCCAAACAGTCAAAAATATCTCAAGAAATACAATAAGGAAGTGGGAAAAATTGATTTTGAAATATTATTAGAAAAGAAATAGGCTGAAATAATTGCTGGAGGATGTCACAATGTGATAATCAACTTCTAAAAGTTCCCGTTTTTCTGTTGCTACAAATGACATAGAATCATAAAGTCTTAACATAACCTAAAGTATATAAACCACATATGCTTGAGTGTATATTCAGTGTATATTTTATTTTTGCTGTCTTCATGCTGTCTCAAATAACTGGTCAGTATTGATCCTTTGGTGAAGTTATATTTATAAAATTGAGTTTGAAGTGAGAATAATTATACAAATATATTTCTTACAATGTTTTAAGCTACTGACTTCAAAAAAGAAGGAAATCTGCATGGTTATATTCCTGTCAGCCCTGCGGAGCTGCTGATAAGCAAAGTTGTATAGTTTCACGAATTGCTGAAAAATAATTATACAAATATATTTCTTACAATGTTTTAAGCTACTGACTTCAAAAAAGAAGGAAACCTGCATGGTTATATTCCTGTCAGCCCTGCGGAGCTGCTGATAAGCAAAGTTGTATAGTTTCACGAATTGCTGAAACATTTATTAGCCAGGTTCTGAATTCTAGAAGCATTATCCAACAAGATAAATGGACAAGTCAAAAATAACACAGCTTGATTGTAAGATACCAGGTGGAGGTAACAATACAATCTCGAGGAAATCTTGCTTTGATATATGAGCGTATTCACTTGACTTGGCAGTGGTTTTAGACAATATATCTGGCACCATGGAGATGTCATTGAGGCAGACCTTTCCTATTCTGTTCTCAGACTGTACCACACTTGTAAAACAGTGAGATTCGTGGGATATTATCTCAAAAGCCAAAAGGCTATAAAGAAAAAAGTTGCTAGCAAGCACTAACATGGGTGTCATGACTCTTTTCAGGTAGTAGGTGTAACCTTGAAGAAAAAGTGGCACTGTCTTCAAAAAAGTGACCTGACCCTGGCTTTGGTGGGTTTTTCTGCAAGAAATAAAAAGCACCGCATGTGTTTATTATACATCCTTTCTAGCTGACCACTGCTTTGTTCTAGAGTTCAGCATGAAAGGACTAATTTTGTTTTTGTTTTTGTTTTTGTTTTAGTGAAATGGCATGTCCGTTGCTAATTCTATTATAGTTGCACACGTAAATAATATCTCTATGTAGTTTATGGATTGGTAGCATTTCAAATAAATGGTATATTGAAAAATTGACCTGAAATTTTTTGAGATGCTTATCAATTGACATTTTTTTCTTAGCCCGAGAAAAGAGTCTGAATTATTATTTTTTAGAAAATATTAAACCTTGTAACATTAGATTTGTCCTTTTAAATATAGTAAAAGTTTAAATATAAGCATGCCACTTTGTTTATTGCTATGTTATTAGAACTTCTTGGAGCATGGAAAGAATTTTTCACAAATGATTTTGCTTTTTGAAAAAAATAAGCTGCAAAAATATTTGTTATAAACCGTATTTAGTCTGTAAATGAACATAGCTTATAAAGGTGTATTAAGCTGACAGTGTATAATGTTTCATCCAAGTAATTTTTATATTTTGATAGAATGTTAAAAAGTTTAATAGTGTCATAGTAAATCTTTTCCCAGACTTCAGAATTGCATGCATCTCTATTTTAGGAAGTTCACATTGCTTCATTAAAGAAGAAACCTGGAATCATTATGCACCCCAATTTGTCATGCAATGGATCATTTTTTCCCTTTATTCTTCCAGAAGTCAGTTATTCTAAGGATTGGGCCGCATAAACTCTTGAGAACACATATGAAAACTACTACTGATATATCTGCTGAATAAAATCTCTGGTATTTGATATTTCATCTTATAAATATCACATTATCATTCCATAACGCTAGTTATAAAGTCAAACCCAACTAAAGAAACAAACTTTCAGCATTGTAAACAGATTCCCACCCACCTTTTAAAATCTAATAACTACACGAAAGTTTTTCCTTTTTCTCATAAATAAAAGCTACTACTGGCTACATTTTAGAATGTCAATGCCTGAGAAAATAGACAACGTTATGCTCCCTAGAGTAAACCTAACTTCTAAATACTTAAAACCCTTTGAAAGCCCAAGATAATGATATAATTCTATCCTTTTTCATTGCGTAGAAACTATTAAGATTCATTAGACCCTGGAGTTAATATTGATCCTCGCTCTAAAGTCCCTTTTTGGACAACAGACCCCCATATGTCCCTTTTCCTTTCTTTGACTATGATATTTCTGGGTGCTACCTTTGTAAGTAGACTTAACAACACAAATATGCATATGTGCTCTTAGTATAAAATTACTTTCTCCAGGGAGCCTCTGCCCAGAGACCAGAGAAAATGAAAGGTTTTTTTTAAAGTATTTAAAGAGTATTTAATTTTCACATAGTATGAGATGTTTCTAATTGGGTTGGGAAGATGATATTTTGCTTTGTTTTTTCAAAAAATTTTGTTTTTCTCAAAAATTTAATAATCTAGTAAACTCAAAAGACAGAAAGCCAGCATATCCCTTTACAGTTCATAATTCTGCTTGTATGAGACTAATAATGTAGGGATATGTGTTTGTATACATACACACACACATAGAGAGAGAGAGAGAGATATTAGTGCTTCCGTGTTAATTATCTTTTACATACATCTGGATTTATGGGGTTCTCCAATTAATATACATTTCTCAAATTCTATGAAAATTTCTTGGTCTTAAAAACATTGAGAATTGCAATTTTTTTTCCACCAAGGTCATACTATCTCCACAAAACAAGTTGGGTGAATTCCTGTGATGTAAAGCCACTGAAGAATTTTTAGAGATTTTATGACATATTTACTCTTTTTATGCTCAATCCACTCGAAAATGAAAAGACTCTAGAGACCACCCAGCCAAAGCCCTCCATGGGAGTCAGATTCTGATCCTAATCCCTGTCTTCATTGCCATTCAAAATATTTAGAGATTATATAGTAATAATTTAGAAATGAACATAACAGGTAACCCATAGTGTTTTTAAATTGATATTATTTAAAAAGTTCATGTCATGTTAATTGCCTTAAGATACATTATACACATAAAATTCTATGTTAAAATTAAATATGTCAGCTGTAAAGGTGAAAAAGTAGCTAACTAAAAGTTCACAGTAAATCTTTTTTCAGATTTTATGTGTTTTCTCCTCAGCCAAAAGCCTCAAGATTCACTTGCAGCAGCCTACCTCTTCATTTATGTTGGATTGCTCTTTAAACATTAGAAGATCTTGTAATAAACAAGTTAAATATTTCTCCTGACACAAGTCATTGTTGATTTCACTGTTGTAGGGAAAAGGCTCTAGGGCGGCAGATAAGGCTGTTGCCATGGTGATGAAGGAGATACCGAGGGAGGAATCTGCTGAAGAAAAGCCCCTCCTTACTATGACATCACAGGTGGGCAGACCCATAGGGTTCCTGTAGGAAGCTGACATATGTTAATATATCAGATATTGTGATTTTTAACTAGAAAAAAAACATTAACTCTTGAAACAATTTTTTTTAAAAGACAGTTTCAATGAAGCAATTATACAAACATAAATGAAAACCAAAATTGCTAAAAAAGGAAAATTTGCCATTTAGTTATTTATTCATGGATATTAATTTTCATTACTCAACTTTAGTTTTAAAAAAGAAAATGTATGTGCAAGTAAAATATGTTGCTTCTTTACAAGGGAGTCTTGTTAACAACTTTGGGAAAGAAATAACAAGCTAATGGTACATTGGAACAATGACAACCAAAAAACAATCAAATTCCTGTGAATAAATACATGTTATATTATATACATATGTCAGTTTACCAGTAGAATACCTAAATTTTCTTCAATGTTAAATATATTTATGTTGTGACTATGCATACTACATATATGTCTATACATATTTATGTGGATAACTAATTTACAGGAATGAGCCAGAAGTCCCTGAGTCCCCATGCAGAAAATGGCATTTGTGACTCCTCTTAGACGTGGTGACCTTGATAACAAAAATATCATCTCTATTATAAGCACATGAGGGCCATTTTCAGCATTTATTGCAAGTATAGAAAAAAGTTTGCATTTGTATGCAAAGACACGCTGAGACTGTGAATACTGTATGTCCTCTGGGACTTTTGAAACACCCTGTAAACTCTACATAAATATGCATAATATATTCATCACCACTTTGTGGAACTACCAGTTTTAAATTCTTAAATGGAAAATATTTTTACTTGCATTTATCTTATAATTTAGATTAGATTGTTATTTTAAACATTTCATTTTTTCCATAATGCAATAGTAAATACAGTGATTCAGTTCCGATTATATGAACATGCCTAGAATTAGAAAAATGTCCGTTTACAGTTCTCATGAAAGGCATTTATATCAAAAGCTAAATTATGGCAATTTATTTTTAGAATATCAGCAGATCTCATCCCCAGCTGCTGCAAACATGTGTGATTTTATTTTATTCTTTATTCTAGATACTGTGTTGTAAGTAACAAAAATTATAACATATAACATCAAAATTGAATAATTTTTTTAAAAGTTACTAAAGATTTTTCAGGACTTTGGGATAAATTTTATATTGTCAGTATTTTTTTTTTCCTTTTTGTCTTTTTTCGTGTCTGGCAACGGATCGCAACCCTCAGTGTCGCGCCCGTACCGGACCGGGACCGGCAACGGAATCGCAACCCTCGGTGCTGCGCCCGCACCTCGCTCAGCCAGTGAGCGGGAACCAGTCTGTATGTGGGATCCGAACCCTCAGCGGGAGCGCCACCGCACTCCCAAGTGGCGTACTGCAGCAGTGCGCCACCGGGCCAGGGAATCAGTCTGTATGTGGGATCCGAACCCTCGGCGGGAGCGCCACCGCACTCCCAAGTGGCGTACTGCAGCAGTGCGCCACCGGGCCGGCCCATATATTGTCAGTATTTTTATCCATAAAGAAGAGATGCTTCTTTCTAAAGACACATAGTAGTAGTTGGAAAGAAATTTGCTTGATATTTGCCGAGTTCTCCATTATTTACTTAATTTACATAGTAATACATATATAGTTTTACATTGATCTCTTGCCCATGAGTGTCAGACCTTTGTAGAATCCCATGTCTAAAATATTCAGTCTGCAGTCCGTCATGTGAATGCTATGGGAGGTGAGAACTACTTGGAATTCTCAGCCACCAACATAGCCATATACATCAGTAGATAAGACTTGTCCAATTTGCTATTGGCACAATTGTGCTACAACATATCATCTATGGACATTTACAATTTAGTGTAGGTATCAGTTTTCAAAATTCTTTTTCCCAAAAACTATGCATTGCTATGTACTCTCCAGTAAGCCTTTTCAAATGCCCAAAATTACCATTATAACCTAAGCTCAAATTTAAAATTTAATGCAAAATAATATTTTTGATTTTTTAATTTAGAAAAGAAATTGAGATTGTTACCATTTTCTCATATTCAGGACATTTGTGTGTATTGAGTTCCTTCTTTAATCCCTGTCTAATGTCACATTAACCGTTTTTGAGGTACTAGTTACAATTTTACTGCATGAAGATTATGTAATGCTTTCTTTGATGCATCATACTCTTGTTGCATACTAGCCAGTTTATGAATCAGCAGAGTTCTGATTCATAAAACTTAATGCACCTGTTGTGTTGATAATTTTATGGAATTAATTCAGTGACAGCTGTGATACAATTATTTCTTCAGTCAAATGAAGTTTTATTAGTTGATAGACTTTTTCCAATATATACAAGTGGCTTCTTCCCTGCTATGCACCAGTGGCGTGCACAAGCCAAAAAGAAGCAGAATGATCTGAAAAAGTGAGTACTTCCCGTGACAACCATAGCATCCAGTTTGTGTACCATACCACATTCTCACTGTGTGAACATATTAGTGTCTTGACACATGTTTGTCCCAGTGTCTCCTGTAAAGCCCCTTACGACATAGTGCTGCATACTGCTGACTACATAGACCCATCTTTGTAACTGGTACATCGATGCCAGCCACTCATGCCATAGATTCTAGATATGTCTGAAGCTAATTCTGCTCTCCCAATACTGTCTTTGGGACAATTTAATAAATAAAATACAGGATAAGTCACTGAAACACTGAGCACTTAGCTTGCTTTGTAACCGTTCACTTAACAGATTCTAAGTGTAGAATAGTCCTATATTCCAGCTTTTTTTTTTTTTTTTTTGTATTATGTGATTATTATGGTATGTTTCTCAGCTTTTAGAGAAATTTAGCCAAATGCAATCCAGTGAAGCTATTACAGCACATGGAACAAATTGAACAAAGAAAAAGATTTGGCCAGATGACCCAAAGTCAGAAACTGCTGACCCCTGAGAGTTGCTCTTTTTGTTTAATGTGATTAATGATTCTATATTAACAAACAACATTGCAAGCACTTCATAGAAACTCAAGTTCATGCTGTCCTAGACTAACACTTAAACAACTGAACAAGTGTGCATTGTTCAAAGAAGAAAATATATGTGAATCATCAAGACTTTGGAGGAAAAAAGTTTCTCTAGACCTATGCTGTCTAATATAATAGCTACCAGCCACATGTGACTACTGAGCACTTTGTGGCTACTCCAAATCAAGATGTGTTGTACATACAAAATACACATCAGATTTTGAAGACTTAATTCAAAAAAATAGTGTAAATTATAGCATTAATAATTTTTATATTGATCATACATTAAAATGTTAATATTTTGGATATATTGGGTTAAGTTGAATGTATTATTAAAATTAATTTCACTTGTTTCTTTTCACTTTTTTAAAAGTGGCTACTAGAGGGCCGGCCCGGTGGCGCACTGGATAGTGCGCCGCTTGGGAAGCGCGGCGGCGCTCCCGTCCGAGGGTTCGGATCCCACATACAGACCGGTTCCCGCTCACTGGCTGAG